TGTGTTAGACAGACAACGTGTCTGAGCACTTAGGGTTAATACACCATTTATGTATCCTATTTCTTTTATAGTTTCATCTTCCACTTCTCTTACGTATTTTACATAGTAACACTTCTGGCTGAAGCAGTGCATTGGCTCATACTTAGGCGATTGCACGTGGCCTTCGTCACACTTCCTTGCAGTCACAGGACACAATCGCTGTATATTCAAGCACAATCAGTTAGCGTAATAGCAGCCACCACATTTGCATAAATACATAATTCAGCTGGCCAGCTCAGTTAGCAATGCACCTGCTTAGTGCTTTTAAGGGGATCTTAGGTTATAGAGTTTCTTACTTCGGAGACTTGGAAATATAAAAACAAACTTGGGACTCTACAGAGCTAAAATTTATCTTGATGTGACAAAGTGCCGATCACAGCACTGCAGACTGTCAACCCAGCAAAGAAACAGGAGAGCGCTGGTGCATTTCACAGAACCCAGAGACAGCACGCAAGGGCCAGGCTGCCGCACGCATGCCACCCCGGTCTCTGCCGGTGAAACGCGCCAGGCTAACCCTCCACACCTCTTCATACCCGCTCAAGAAACGAGGCAGGCTGCGAGCACTGACAGCACAACGCGCTTCAGCTGTGACCAGAAAGATCATTTCAGGAGGAAGAGGACACAGGTTTGCTGAGAACACCGATTCCATTTAGGGTTCATGGTATTTTCCATGTAAAGTGGTATTACAGAGATAGCGCTTGTTAACAGAAAATAGCCAACACATTTGCAAGAAGGACAGAGCTGTGCCATAAGCAGCAGAACTAACGAAGGCCAGATGCCTGCAGGTCTGTGCTCTGCATCCTCTGTGCTCTCCAGCTGGTAACCTCCCCTCCAGGTGCCCAGCAGCCCTGTCACCCCTTCATCCTATCGAGCTCTCCCGCCGCCCTGGGACTCTCCCCAGTCCTCAGCCCTGCAGCCAGCACCTCCAGGTTCCCCCCGCCAGATTCGCCTGCGTCCCTCGATAGACTTGTGGGTGCTCGTCTGGCACTGCTCCTCCACAACATCTCTGATTCTCTCCCAGGTCCACCTACACACCACCTTCTCTCTGTCCCCTTTCTAACAGCCGCATCTCCTAGCAGCTTCCTGTGCCCCGAGTTCGGCATCTCAGCCACCCTCTTTTCCCCAGCACCCTCCCAGTGCCTCCAGTTCCCCTGGTTAGCTGCGCAGAACGCAGCAGAGCGCGGTGCGGGCTCGCATGCAGACCCACCAGCGGGTAGCGGTGAGCAGCACGCCTAAAAAGTGCTACCGCCGGGTCTGTCCCTCCTTACCCACAGCCCCTGACCTGTAGAAGCGCAGTCGCTTTGAGATCGCTGATGTAGCTGCTCAGTGTTTGCAGGTAGCTTCAGAAGTTGCTGGAGAGGACTGGCGGAGCAATTCCGTACATACCTGTTCTTTGGGAAATCACACTGAACATCCCACGCTTTTTCTCCTGTGAGCGAAGAAGTACGCTGATGAGAAAGCCGAAGAGCACGACATGTATCTAACCAGCAACTGTCTTCTCTTAATACAGATACCAAGCTACATCCAGGAGTACGTTTATTTACTTCATCCTGTTCCTCCCTTAAAGAAGAATCGAGGTCTCCAAAGCAAAGCTTTAGATGGCCTCCCCTCCTGTTCCTTTGTCTGTAGGTGTACGTCCTCTGCAATCGCTCTGCTTCAACACTAGCCCAGAAATAATCTTGGGCGAGCAAAAAACAGATGAGTGACTTGTGTCAGATTTGTTGCACTGCTGTGATCCTAGTTTCTGCTTTCTTGCATGTTCAGTATTTAAATGCACAACATTGAAGGCTTCTTGTCCTTATAGCTGCAAAGAGAAGAAAGAAAATATCTCTGCCTATAGGCACCGAAACAGAACATGGGGAAGAAACAAACTTATTTTCCCTAATTTATTCAGTTTTCTAATCCAAATTTAAAATTTTGGGGCAGTAGAGAGAGATAAGGCTTGAGGCAGGTATCAATGGTATATACGAACTGAACACGAGGCTGTTTTATCTTCTGGGATCTAATAAATGGTTAGCAAGAGGTCTTTGTTGTAAAGGTCAGAACGTGAAATGGCACATCGATCTGCTTGCCAGCTGTCGGAGCCCACAGGCCAGCGACGCCTGCACCTCTCTGTGGTTCAACAATGCAACGGTTTCAGAAAGTACAGTTAAAATGTCACACAGAACTACAACAAGCACGAAGTGGTTATCTGCAGCTTAAAGCTGCTCTTTAAGACGTAAAGGCTGGCTGCCATCACGGCCCCAGAGTCACAGAATCACAGAATGTTCGGGGTTGGCAGGGACCTCTGTGGGTCACCCAGTCCAACCCCCTGCCGAAGCAGGGTCACCCAGCTTTCTCCTGAACGGCTGTCACTGGCCCCTTAAGAGCAGCTCTCCAGCTGCTCCAAGAAGCAGACAGGTTGCATGTCTGCTTTTTTTCTTTTTCTTTTCCCCAATAAGATTGTGGGAAAGTTGTTACAAATTTCTTCACTGTAAGTCAGAGGAGCTTAATGAATCTCTAGTTAACCGCTGTACATCAATGGGGGTCGATGTTCCTTTCCGTGCTGTGCTGCAGAAAAGGGAGATTGAACTCACAGCATGCAGAGATAGACAAGGTACGCCCTCAGCTGCATTCAACCACGTGAAAATATTCCACTATTACTCTCATCCTTTTCATAGATGGCACTCGGATTCGCTAAGTAAATAAAAAATACAAGTGAGGAGAATGAGTTGTTACTGCAAAAACCAGCCAGAAAACCTTATCTGCGTTACAGAGATTTGCATCAGTATAAACAAGCAGCTAGAGAACGCTGTGGGAGAGCAGACTCAATTTGTATCACTGCAAATAGCAATCTGTAGATTGATTTCACGAGCCTGCTCAAAAATGTTTAGTGAAGACAGAGCCTGCAGCAGGGCTGCCACGCTAAGGCACTTGGAAGAATTTCTCCTCCATTTTAACATTTAAATCCTGTGCCTTCCAACGACACTGCTGTCCACATCAGCGTTACTGCTTTAGGAGTTGAACAAATGGTCAGCTGAAAAGTGGCTTGGTTTTATTTTTTTTTTTTAATTACTTCAAAGTTTAATAAATGCTTCGATTAATAATTTGCTCTCAAGGGCAAGAGAAAGCTTAAGTTGGAAAACTCCGTGTGAATACCGTGTTGGGGACTAGCAGCCAATGAGGACACGCATGCTCCATCAGTTCGGCAGAGCAGTTGTTCATTTAGCGGGGCAGTTTGCATTTTTACTGGTTCATTCAGTATTGCCAAACTTAACAAGACCCAAACAGAACAGCTGACACTACATGAACTGCCTGCCCTAAGTTCTACAGAAGCAGCCTGTGTAAAGAAAACGCATCAAAAATCATTCACTTTAAAGTCTTACAGGAAGGATCTCTAGGAGCATTTTTTGGCCACCTACCTACTCCCCAGGGGAGCAGCGCAATGACATCTCCTCAATACATCGAGATGTAATTGCTCATGTAGTTGACTTCCAGACTCCCTTTGAGGCTGCAAACCACATGAGGATGCACTGTTAAAATTACCTAACGCTTCTCTGAAACTCAACCCGAGCAGCGTCCTGCAGTGGTACCCCCACCCGAGATACAATGCCTGCTTCATGCTGCACATTTTTGTGATCTGGCTGTGTTGACCGAGCCACGTGCTGCCCTGCAAAGCTATTGTGAGGATCTTCTTGGACAGCACCATCCCCGATGCTTTCAGAAATCCTTTGAGTGCTGTCATCTTACGCCGTTAACACAAACAACTTCAGGAGTAGAAGCCAGTGAGACTGAATAGCTCCCTCGCCCCTTTTTCACCCCCACATCTGTCGGTGTTATGTGTTGCTTTGATTCAGCTCATACTCCTCTCAACTTCCAAGTCAGCAACCCTCTCAACTTCAGTAAAACTAATGCAATAAAGTTACCAGGATCACAGGCTCTACTGTTGAAATCACCAAAACACACTTAGGAAGCTGAATTCCTGTGTAATGACCAGTGCACACAGGGCAGTTTCTCGGGTAGTGAAATAGGATCGCGCTATTGGAGACGCAACACACGCCATAGGCTTTGCTAAAGCTTTGGCACGTCACCATGAGAAGCACATCTTACTACACAGGTCACAAGCTCTTTGACAACTAATTTAATAAACAAATAATTATAGTTTTAGTAAAGCTTAAAAAAAGAAAACGCCGCCCTACTTTTGGAAGATGTAATCAGACATATTCCATTCTAGTGCTTCAGCTGTTTATGGCAAGAACTACAAATGCTTCCCATTGTAGCACGGAGAACCCTTTCTGTAACGCCTCTTACCTACATCTTTACCTCTCAGTCTTCTCTCATGCCAGCCAAGAACTCACTGGAGTGCTCCGCCTCCAAACCAGCCATTGCATATGACTATTACTACCTGAAAGAAGAGATAACACTTTAATAGCATCACAGAATCGTGTTTTGCACTGCGTTAGCGATTTAACACTGATGGCGAGCTGGCCTTCGTATTAGACAGAACCAGCTGCAGGAACCAAAATCTAACAAGATGCTGGTCTTGGTTTTTTACCATTCTCCTCCTAGACAGTTAACATCTTGTTTAAAATTCATTCAGTTTGCAATTGTAACAGAATAAAATCTCGTCTGCTCAATTCCTCCGCTCTGCAGGGCCAACTCTGCACACTTGTCCACGAAGAGACGCGGGTTTGGGTCACTAACACAGAGCTGCAAAGTAATTTCAGTACAGTGACAGAAATGGCCGATTAACGCGCTCTAAGAATCAACACTGGCAGTTTTGAGAGCTACCCAAATAGTCAAACAAACACAGCAGGTTTGAAGATATGATTCTAAACACTGCACTTCCATCCTATGCGCGAAGCGTAATGTCGAAAAAAGCAGAGCTCTCGTCTTTTGAAGGCGTGAGGTGGTGAAAGCACGCGGGTGGGGGTGCAGATGCTCCAGCTGAAGAGGCCAATAACTGATTGTCCAAGAGAAAAAACATTCACAAAAGTTTTATTAAAAAAATTCCCCTTTCACCTCAAACAAGTGAAGCTTAAGTTCCGTACTACTAGGTTATGTTTAGAAAAACGAAAATAATACAGTAATTTTTGAAGGCTATACATTGTAAAATCCCATAAGTCAGCATAAACTTGGACTGTGCAAGCAAATATAGCAAGTATTTCAGATGTCATTTATTTGGTCCATCAGATGTACAGTATAGTAGTAGTATCTGAGTTTACAAAACATCAAATATAAATAACCTGAAACTGTAACAATACACAAAAATTTGCTTCTTACATGACATACCAGGCAGTACGAGCTGAAAAACTTGAGTAAATTAACAGTTTTACAGTAATGTACATAGTGCCAGCTGATGTTTAAGAACACTGTTAAAACATGGCACTAATTTGCTTTGTTGAATTTTCTTCTTTACTTGTTCAGGGTGTGAAAAATGTTTAGGACTAGGCTAAAAATAGTTTTCTTCAAGCAAAAAATAAAAATGTAGTTACTTAAAACCCAGGCATCAGATGATGACCCTTTACTAAACAAGAGTAGGGTTTTTTCTGTCCTATTGAATTGTACCTAAAAGGTATTTACACAAAAATAACATGCTTTTGTCATGACTGTTTAAGCAAATACTTATCTGTACGTATTTATAAACTATGTTTCCACTACATTTAATATATGGAATTAATATGGAAAAACTTCTGAAACAGTCTATTGAGATGAGAGCTTTATCATCAAGAGAAACAGACACAAATTATTTAAGCCAGTGGTCTGGTATTCACTCGGAGCAAAGGCCTTCGAATTAGTCTAGTTCTGGACATTTTTCACATCCCAAGACAAGATGCTGTTACCGTATTACATTATCTGAATTGTTTTGTCATGGGGCATTCACATGTTCAGTCTAACGCTATAATTTCATCTTGCTCTTCCGTCAGCTCCGTACGCACTCTCTTTGTACTGACGCGCTCTTTATCTTCTAGTTTTCTCTTGCGGCTTTTGTTTTCCATATCGTCATCAACGTTGCTTGAAGTACCTTCATCGTCAGAATCAACAATCAATAGATCGTCTTGATCGGGAGCTGCAGAATAGATGTTTTTAATTCAGATGGATACTGTAAAGGTAGTCTACTCTCAAACCGAGTTTCATACATAAAAATAAGAATGTCTCCAATACAACCGATACATCTGGAAGCATTCTTTATCCATAGTCTTTGTCATTCAGCTGCAAGAGTATTTTGAATATCTCTGAAATCAGTAAAAATACAGGCTTTTCACATGGTTATTACCTCTTCACTAGAGGTATGGAAAATACTGCAGTAACCCCAAAATATGGGAAATGCATTGATCACCATGTTTTTTTGCGTGCACAAAACAGAAGACTTGCATGCTATCCGCAGTAGCCCAGCCTCTCCTTTCTCCACGGCACCCAGCAGTGCTCCCACGAGAAGCCACGCTCCACGAGCGAGACACGCCGAGAGGGGGGGAGTGGGAGGGCAAGCAGACTTACTCAGCTACAGGATAACAACGCGTAGGATAAAGAAGGGCAAATGGAACCAAACGTGAACTTTCAAGACATCTAGTGGAGGTTGTTTGCTTTGAAGTACAAATTCACTGTAAATACTAATGTTATGCTAGTTTTTTTTTTACAGAATTTGAAATCAGTTGTAGCAATACTCTGAACATTTGATCTCCCCTGAAACAAGAGGCAAGTGGGAGTGACTCCATGCTTGGGCACATATCTCAAACTGGACCACCTGACAGGCAAAGGAACATCATCCAAAAGCGCAAGACAGCAATCCGACTTGCAGCTGTCCCAAGGAGTATGCAGATTCACACGTTATCCCTATAACGTGGCATGATGTTTCCAGTACCTCAGCTTTCAGTGCTTAAACATCCCACATGCATTTAAGTTAAACTCCTTTGAGTATGTTCCAAGAAACACTCTGCATTAGGAAGGTGATGGTACTTCTTCCTGCACAGCAAATACTATTTTCTTGCCATGTTTTGCTGGACAGGTGAAAATAATTATTTTGTAAGCAGATAATAAAGATGTCCCCTTAAATTAACAAAATGAAACACGATCAAAGACATCTGCAAAGTAATTTTTCATCTGAAGGTTGATTGTTTTTTTGTCAAGCAATAGCGTGACCAACCAGATAGAAGGCGTCTAACTTTATTTAAATCGCTATGCAAATGAGGCACTTGAGGTGACACCTCACCAAGTGCCTGCAAGTTAAGTAATGTAATTTCAAGGTGTTTTTACTGGAAACCTTTGTAACAATCTTAAACATGCATTTTTCTATTTAATATTGTATTTATACAGAGAGGCAACTTAGATGCCTTTTATTTCATGCTGGCAAAGCTAAGTCATAAACTGAACACAACTATTTCAGCTGGACTGCACTACTGAAAGACTATTTTGTTCCATTTATTATTGCTTACTGTTGCTTACCTGTTGATGTTGAGGGTTGCGCTCCATCATCACTACCATTGGTAATGTTCTTGGCTGTTGGCTCTGATGGTTTAGGGCCGACTTTCTCAGGGGCATCACCAACAACTTCAAATTCTACATCTTTTTCTAGGTCTTCACTGCAGAAAAACACATATGCTTTTAAACAACTAGGTGAAAATAAAAAACCTGTCTTTTTGAGAAAGTATGTCATTCGAGTATTAGAGCACCCTGCAACTACAACAAAATGAGAAAAACATTAAAAAAGAGGAAAATTTGTTCAGTCCTCCTTTATAATGTATGCTTTATTCATAAACAGTGTTCCACCCAGTGCCATGACTTAAAATGCTTAGGAACGAGAAGAATCATCACCTGAGCTTACCCTTCCTCCCCGACGTCACCCTCCTACTCTCACCGACTGTGCAGCGTGCCAGCCTGCTGCGTACAACAC